TGGAGGTCTCTTGGGCCGTCTTGGGGCCCTCTTGGGGCCTTCTTGGGGGCTTCTTGGGCCGTCATGGGGCCATCTTGGATGCCTCGTAAGCAATTTTGGGGCAATCCTGGGGGCCTCTTGGGCCGTCTTGAGGTCCTCGGAAAGCCGAAAAGAAGCAAATGCCGAAATCGTCCAGAAAAACCTAAGGACAACCAATGATTTGGGCCTCTTTCGGCCCTCCAGGAGGACCTCTTGGAGGCGTCTTGGGGGGCTCTTGGGGGCCTCTTGGGCCGTCTTAAACCATCCTGAGGCTGTCTTTGACCGTCTTGGAGGCATCTTGGGCCATCTTGGAGGCATCTTGGAGGCATCTTGGGGCCATCTGAGCCGTCTTGGAGGCCATGTTGGCCGTCTTGGAGGCGTCTTGGAGGCCATCTTGGGCCGTCTTGGAGCCGTCTGGAGCAGGAAACACCCTTAGCAACCACCTTCGGGAAATCTGGAAGATTTTTCTGGGTGGCCGGCGGGACGTGCCGAAGTCCCAGGTCCTTTTGGAAAAAGAACCAAAACCAAAACCGAAAGGGTCCAGCACGCCAGGCACCCTTGCGATGAATCGACAGGGGGCGGCGGATCGAATGACCTTCTGCCCATTCCGCCACCGTGCCTGGGTTGTGGGTATTAAGCGTATTGGATGTTCGTTGGGATCTCGTGGGAGGCCTCTCGGGGGCCTCTTGGAGGCAATTTGGAGGCCTCTTGGGGGCCGTTTTGGAACCTTTTGGGGCCTCTTTTGGGTTTCTTGGGGGCATCTTGGGGCCTCTTGGGGGCCTCTCGGGGGCTTCTTGGGGCCTCCTAGGCGCCTCTTGGGGCCGCCTGGGGGCCTCTTGGGGCGGAAGGCTCGGATTTTCGGTTCGTGTTTTCTCTCTTGGGCCCCTTTTGAGGCCGTCTTGGGGTCCTCTTGGGCTGTCTTGGGCGCCTCTTGGGCCGTCTTGGGGCCCTCTTGGAGGCATCTTTGGCTGTTTTGGGGCGGTCGTGGGGGCCTCTTGGCCTTGGAGAAGTCATGCGGCAACACTTCAGGGAGCCCAGGGGGCACGCGCCACGCTCCAGGGGGCACGCAGGTCGCCCCGCCAGAGTTCGGAGTGTGGGGCCTGGTCCCTTAAGGACTCCTCAGGAGCGAGGAGTGGGGCGGAGGGGACGGGGCCCAAAGTCCTGAGGACACGCCCACTCCGTGCCCAGAGGCACGGTGGCGGATCATGTGGTTTTGTAGTTGGATTCCAGTGTTCAGGCTGTTCTGTTGCCAGATTATAATGGTATGATTTTGGACAGCACGCCAGTGGATGGCCCTGAATACACTAAAGGGCGAGCGTGCTCGCAACCCCCCCCCTCCCCCCCTTCAAGGGGGGGGTGACATTTTCGACCCCCCGCCCCCCTCCCTCCCTTGGAGCTGGAAAAGGGGGGTGTCGACCCCCCCCTCTGCTTCTTTTTGCGCCGAACAAGGGGCTGGGGAGGGGGCCTCTCGGGTAGTGAGTAGAGAGTAGAGTGTTTTGAGTAGCGATTGGTGAGTAGTGGGTATTTGATAGTGAGTAGTGCGCACTGAGTCGTGAGTGGTGAGTAGTGAGTAGTGGGTAATGGGTCGTGGTCGTAGTGAGTAGCGCGTAATGATTAGTCAGTAGTGAGTAGAGAGTAGTGGGTAGTGAGTAGTGGGAAGGAAGTAGTGAGCAAGGAAATGTGAGTACTGACTAGTGAGGAGCGAGTAGGGTGTAGTGAGTAGTGCGTAGTGAGAAGGGAGTAGACGATAGCGAGGAGTGAGTAGTGAGTAGTGCGCAGTGTGTCGGGAGTAGTGAGTGGTGAGTAGCGAGTAGCGGGTAGCGAGTAGGGATTAGTGAGTAGTGAGTAGCGAGTAGGGCGTTGTGAGTAGTGAGTAGTGAGGACGAAGTAGCCAGGAGCCAGTAGTGAGTAGCGAGTAGGGAGTAGTGCGTAGCGAGTAGGGGGTACCGAGTAGTGAGTAGTAAGTTGTGAGTAGTGAGTAGTGAGTAGTGAGTAGTGAGAAGCGAGAAGTGGGTAGTCGGTAGTGCGTAAGGGGGTATCGAGTAAAAAAACATGGAGTAGTGAGTCGTGAGTAGTGAGTTGTGAGTAGTGAGTAGCGACTTGCGACTAGTGAGTAGTGAGTAGGGAGTAGGGAGTCGGGAGTAGTGAGTAGCGAGAAGTGCGTAGTGGGTAATGGATATGTCCTTTTGGGTATCGTGTAACGGATAGTGAGTAGTGGGTTCTGGGCAGTGCGTAGTGAGTAGTGAATTGTGAGTTCTCCGTAGTAAGTAGTGGATACTGGGTAATGGGTAGTGAGTAGTGCTCAGTGAATAGTGAGTAGTGGGCAGTGTTTAGTGAGTATTGCGTACTGGGTAGTGAGTAGTGAGCAGTGAGTTGGGAGTAGGGATCAGGGAGTAGTGGGAGCGTAGTGGGTAGTGAATAGTGCGTATTGAGTAGCGAATAAGACGTAGGTAGTAGCGAGGACTGAGTAGTGAGTAGTGGGTAGTGTGTAGGGAGTAGCGAGTAGCGAGTAGTGGATAGTGACTACTGATTTGCGGGCACTGAGTAGTGAGTAGTGAAGTGTGAGTAGCGAGTAGCCGATAGTGGTTAGTGGGTAGTGAGTAGTGATTTGTGATTAGCGAGTGGTGGGCAGCGAGTTGTGTTTAGTGAGTAGTGAGTATTCAGTAGTGGGTAGTGAGTAGTGAGTAGTTTGTAGTGACTAGCAAGTAGTGAGTAGGGGGTAGTGAGTAGTGCGTCGTAGGTAGTGGGTCGTGGGTAGTGAGTAGTGAGTCGTGAGTAGTGAGAAGTGAGGAATGAATAGTGAGTAGCGAGTAGTGAGTTGTGGGTAGTGGGTAGTGCGTAATGAGTAGTGGGTGCTGTTTGGGGCTAGGTTTGGGTTTGGGGTTAGGGTTACTGGTTAGGGCAAGGGTGAGGATTAGTGTTCGGGGTGGTAGGGGTCGGGTTCCGGAGACCAGGGGCGCCGTGGCGAAAGGGGGGGAGGGGGGGGGGTCGAATTTGGCGGCCACAAGGGGGGATGGGGTGTGGCGGGGTTCGGACCCCCCTCCCCTTTTGAAAGGGAAGGGGGGGGGTTCCTCGACGACGGACCGGGAAAGGGGGGGGAGGGGGGAGGGGTCCCCGACGACGGATCGGAAAAGGGGGGGAGGGGGGGGGGGGTCCCACACGACGGATCGGGGAAAGGGGGGGGGGTCCCCCCCCCCTTTTGGGGTCATCCAGCGGCGCGCCCTCATAATTTTGTTGTTCTGAATGGTGTTAGCCTTCTCGCGCTTTACGCTTCCGATGTGCCTCCAATGCCTGGGCATTGCCTTGGGATGGTCCAAGGCGTCCACAGGGGCGTCCAGGTAGGCCCTAGCACGCACACGGAGGCTTCCAAGAGTACCCAACGAGCCCAAAGGAGGCTCCAAGAGATGATGTTTCAGGCCCGATGGAGCGAGGCGAAACCGCTTCCTTTTTCGATCGACGGCCCCAAAGGTGCCCCCCCCCACACACACACACACATTCACACGCCCCCCGTTCACACGCCCCTCCCACCCACACATGTACACACATACGCACGCAAACACGCACGCACACACGCACGCACACACGCACACGCACACGCACAAACAAGAGCACACGCACACGCACACGCACGCACATGCACACGCGCACACACACACGCACACGCACAGGCACACGCACACACATACGTACACACGCACACACACACACACACTCACACACGCACACGCACACGCACACACACACACATATTCACACATTCACACACACACACATACACACGCACGTCAAACACATCCCCAAGTGTGCCCCAGAAGAGCAGTACGAGCTCCGAGATGGCCCACATGCAGCTCCAAGAGAGCTTCAGGAAACCTTCAAGAAGAATGGAAGCCCACCTGCGACGAGTCGTGTCTGGGTGGACTGGTGGAGATTTGCGAACCGTCCTCCGTTGAACACCTAGACATCAGCGTGAGCGTTAAAAGGGGACGAGCATGCCGGGCGGCGGGCATTTTTCAAAACAGCGACACGGTGCAGGGCAGTGCAAGGCAGCGGGGCATTACGGTTCGCATTTCCCCAACCTGACCTTCTCCAGGCGGGCAGCGAGCAAACGGGGGCATCCAACAATTCCCAGCAGAGGTGATTTAGGGCGACGGTCTTCGAATGCATGTTTCTCCCTTCTGGGAAGGGCTTGCCGATCCCCCGGCCTACCCCCTTCCGTGGCCACTGAACCTCCCAACGATCCCCGGGAGACCAGGTGTTCAACCACGTGGTTGTTTTTTGTTTCAGTGCGCGCTTCCCGTCTCGCCGTTTCGATTCCGATGGGCTTCTGAATCCTCCAGATGGCTCCAAGATCTCCCAAGCGAGCACCAAGAGGGGCCCAGAAGGGCTCCATGACGACCCCAACGCACTCCCAGTAGCAATCGCGGGGCGCCCGCTCATTTTTGCGGCAACGTGCGCTTCGTTTTATGGTCTGGCAGGGATGGCAATGGGGGGGGGATGAGGAGGACGGGGAGGTGGAGGAGGAGGAGTGGGAGGAGGAGGAGGAGGAGGAGGAGGAGGAAGAGGAGGAGGAAGAGGAGGATGAGGAGCAGGAGGAGGAGGAGGAGGAGGAGAAGGAGGGAGGGGGACGGGGGGCTCATCAGGTGAACCTCTTACGGGATAAGTAGACGGCGGCTTGGACAGATGACCCGCCAAGCCACATGCGCCCCAAGGGATTGGTGGGACTCCAGCCAGCGCCCGTTCCGATCCGATCGATTCGATTCGACATCGATTTTGGCCGGCCCGATCCACTTCTGTTCTGACATCCTGAGGATCCGATGCGGCCCGATTTTTGCATGGCGCTGTTGTGCCGTTGGGCACCCTTGCGCGGCCGATTCGATTCGATTCCGACTTCGTGCCCACGTGAACCGCTCCAGCGCACATTCCGACCCGGTCCGGGTCTCCGATTCGGTGCTGACTGCTTCTGACTCCAGCCGCTCCCGAAGGACCGCGTGACGCTCATCCAGGGCAGCTGCGGCTGCGGCAAGAGCGCCTGCGTGCCGCTCTACATCCTGGCCTGCAAGCCCGCCGAGGGCGAGGCTGGCCGCAGGCCCCTCGTAGCCTGTGCGCTGCCGCACCGCGCGGCGTGCGTGGCGCTCGCGAGGCACGTGGCGGGCTGCTTCGGGCAGCAGGTCGGAGAGGCGGTGGGCTACAGGCAGGGACCACTTCGATCCGATCGGTTCGATGCGATGTCGGTTCCTGCCGGCCCGATCCGATTTCGATTCCGATGCTGCGACGACTCGTCATGGCCCGACGCCTGCACGGCGTGGCTATGGCATCATGGCGCGGCCGATCCGACCCGATATTGACTCCGCGCCGATGCAGGCCGATCCAACGCACATTCCGATTCGACCCGATGTTCCGATTCGAGACCGTCTCATGGTGTTTGCAGGTCTCTCGGCGACGAGCAGGTGTCGGAGAAGACGCAGGTCGTCTACATCACGAGGAGGGCCCTGCTGACGGAGCTCCTGGATCGCCCGGACATGGCGTCGAGGTACTCGCACGTGGTGCTCGACGATGCTCACGAGCGCTCGCTCGACATGGACATCCTGTGCGCCGTGCTGCGGCTGCAGATGGCACAGCGCCCGCTCCGCGTAGTGGTGATGTCGGCCGCCACGCAAGCACTGTCTGCTCTCGCGGACTACTTCTGCGGCCCCCAGAGCCCATCTGCAGATGCCGCCTGCCGAGAGCCACTGCGCGTCGAGTGCCGGCGCCGGCGCACCCATGTCCTGTACCTCGAGCAGCTGCCCGGCTATTTTCAGGGCCGGTTCTCGCTGAGCACCGACGCGCTCGCTGCGGCGCGGCGGGCCGAGGAGGCCTTGCTGCGCGGGGCCGCCGGCGCCCGCGGCGCGAGCCGCGCGGCCCCGCCCGGGTACGTGGACTTGGACTTCGCGGGGTCCGAGGACGAGGACCGCGAAGACGAGGGTGCGGACGGAGAGCCCGCTTGGCACCGCGCCACGGGCTCCTCCGCGGCGGCCCCAGGTGGCAGCGCGCCGCAGGTGCCAGCAGCAGCGGTGCCTCGAGGGCTGCACACCCTCGTGCGGGAGCTCGTGCAGCGCCTCGCGGCCCCGGGGGAGACGATCGTGGCCTTTGTGCCTGGCGCGGCCGAGGCCGTCGAGCTCAGGAGCGCGCTGGGGCCCCTGGGCTCGCCGGCTGCAGGGGGCGCCTCCGCAGTGCGCGCCTTCCTCCTGGGCCCCGACTCGCACGAGGCGGAGTCTCCGGGCGCGGCTCTGGGGCCCCCGGACCCGGGCCTCGCGCACGTGCTCATAGTCGTGCCTGGGCCAGCGGAGGCCTACCTTGCGGCGCTGGACGTCGGCGTGGTCATAGACTTTGGCTCGCGCCACGGCTGGGTGCGGGGGGCCGACCACCCCACGGCGAGGAGGGCCACCGTGTGGGCCTCGCGCGCCGCTTGCCGGCTGCGGGCCCGGCGGTCTGGGCGCCTTGGCCCGAGGCTCTCGAAGAAGATGAGGAAGGGCCATACACAAAAGGGTCAGAGCTCAGAACTCCGACACTTTATGTTTATGCCGGCTGTTCTGCTCTCCTCCTTCTTTTTATTATTGTCATTATTCTTCTTCTCATTTCTATGATTTATCTTCTTCGACGACGACGACGACTTCCAGGCTCTGCGTCAGGCTGTTCCCGCGGGAGCTCTTCGGCGGCGCCATGCGGGCGCACGAGCCGCCAGAGGTGCAGAGCCTCCCCCCCGAGCGCGTCCACCTCGACCTGCACGCCGCCGCGTCGCGGTTGCCAGCACCCGCGCCGGGGGGCGGCGCCCGCTGGAGCGCAGGAGCAGCGCCACGCATCCCCCCTCCCCGTCGTGCGAGCTCCTTTTGCCTCCGGTGAGCGGCGCAGGAGAGCTGGGCCGTCTGCGCCGACACTGGCGCGTAAGCTGCCCGCGTATACAAGGTTGCGCGTGAGCGCCCTCGTCTCCAATGTGGCGTGCCGCGCGGGCGGCCCGCGTAAGCCGCCGCGTCTACGCCATCTCGCGTAAGACCCGGTTTTGATCGTCGCTCGGGTGAGCTTGTCAATAGCAGGTCTATACTGGTGACCCCCCCCCCTCGTATTTTGCCCCCTGCATATCCGCCCTTCTATTTTTCCCCTACACGCGTCCTCTGGTGCGCATGGCCTCCCCTCTTGCGCAGATACTATTATGATATCCTCATGTTGGCTTTTCACGTTGCTCATACACGCGTCCTCTGTTACGCACAGCATCCTCTTTTGCGCATGACTTCCTCTTCTATCCGCATGGTTTCTTTGATATTTGCATGGCTTTGCTCGTTTGGGACTGTCCACGGGCGCCAGATCAGAGTGTTCTGACACCAACGGTCTTGGGCCGCCTCGGCAGCCACAGCGCGCAGCATTCTCTGGGCACTGCCACATCCTTCGGATGCCGTGCCCTCGCGAAGCGACTCGGCGAAGAGCACACGAGTGCAGCCCAGAAAACGACCCAGGCACTTTGCACGCGCGACGGAGCGCTCAGCTGCCGCGGCGGTCTCGGCCAGGCGCGCCTCGGCGCGCGGCGATGAGCCTGAGACGCTCCGCCTCGCGCTCGTCTTCCTGCGGGACCTCCTGCATGACCTCGACGCGCTGAGCGGCCGTCTGCCACGCTCCCGACAGCTCGCCCTCCTAGAAGCCTCCACGCTCGTACAGGGTCCAGATCTGCTTCAAACATGCGCCAGCGCCCGCGGATGGCCGTCGAGCTCGTCCCGACGCCCTGTCCAGGAGCCTACCGTAGGCGCCTCGCATGGCATCTGCACCCAGCGCGACATCGACCGCTTCCTTGAAGGGGCCGAACTGCCGCTGCAGCGGCCCCAGAAGGCGCACCATCGCACGAAGGCCCTTGCCCATCGTGTCGCTGACCTCCTCGGAGCTCTCCTCACCCCTATCGGCACACCCGTCCATGGAGTGTTCCAGCTGGCGCTTCCCGGAACATGCTGGGGCCGAGGCCTCGCGTCCCCCTGGAGCGCCTCGTTCTTCTCTTTCCTCTTCCCCTTGTCGGCATGCTGCGGGCCGCCGACCTCGTCATCACGCCGCTCGGTCTTCGGCGGCAGCTCCACGACGGCGCCCTCGGCGAGCAATCCGCATGGCCGCCGCGCCCTCCCGCCTCTTGGAGGGGGCCCTTACCCTTTGGGGGGTGCATTTCGAGTGAATAGGAGCGCGTTTCTTTATTGCTTGGGGCATGACGGGCGTCATGGCCCCCGCTCCCCCGACGCTCCCCCCCCCCTGTGCGCTCCAGGCAATGCCGCCGTGCGCATTGGGATTCGCGTAGGGTTCCGCGTAGGAATCCGCATAGGAGTCTGGTCCGCAGTCGTCGTCGTCGTCATCGTCGTCATCGTCGTCGTCGTCGTCGTCGCTCATCGTCGTCGCTCGTGGCTCGTCGCTCGTCACTCATCGTCGTCGTGCGCACGGACGCGGCTGGAGCCTGTTTATTATTCCGGGCCGATGACGGCAATCAGCTGGGCGGGGGAAGGGGGTCGATGACGTCACGGTTCGCGCCGGCGGCGTCTGGGAATGTTCAGGAATGACGGAGGACGGGTAGCACCAGCATGTAGGTGGCGATTTGCACCACAACGCGCGTGTACACCACAGTGCCTGCGTGCACCACAGCGCGTGTACACCACACCGCCTATGTACACCACAGCGGCCGCGTGCAACACAGTGTCAGTTTGTGCCACCGTGCCTGCGGGCACAACAGCTCTTGTGTACACCACAGCGCCTGCGTACACCACATCAGCCAAGTGCAACACAGCACCAGTGTACACCACAATGCCTGCATGCATTGCAGTGCCTGTGTACACCACGGCGCCTGTGTGCACCACAGCAACCGTGCGCAACACAGCACCACTGTTGTATATAGAATGTTAGAAGGAATCCTTCTGACAAAATGGAGCGCTTGTGAATTCCACTGAAAACAATAGAAAGGACTCCTCATGGACAAAGGAGCGCCGCTGGAATCAACGATTCTCCCGAGACCGCCCGCATCACCCTAAATCCTCCCATCTGCGTCCAGGAGGCTCCACCTAAATTGGCCGTCCGAGAACCAAGTGGACCGATTCAATAAACCATTCTGCGGTGCACGCTGAGACGCGCACGTGCGCTGTAGCGCCAACCCTCACGGCAGGGGGTAAGGAGGAGGAGGAGGAGGAGGAGGAGGAAGTGGAGGAGGAGGGAGGAGGGAAAAACGCCGTATTCGATAATCGGCACTTTCCTGGCGTGGCGTTTAGTTGTGCACAGCAGATCCTCACGCACATGTTCCCTCTATTGGTCCTATGCACGCATGCGTTGTGGTGTACACCAGCGCTGCGTTGCACGCGGATGCTGTGGTGTAGACAGGCGCTGTGGCGTGCACAGGCGCTGCTGTGCATGCACGCATTGTGGTGTACACAGGCGTTGTGTCGCACGTGGCTGCTGCGGTGTACACATGTACATCGGCGCTGTAGTGTACGCAAGCACGCTCTGGTGTACCCAGGCGCTGCGTTGCACACGGTTGTTGCGGTGTACGCAGGCGCCGTGGTGTACACGCGCGTTGTGGTGCATGTGAGCGTTGTGGTGTACACAGGCGCAGTGGGGCACATCGCCACCTACATGCTGCTCGCGTCGTCGTCGTCGCTCGTCGCTCGTCGCGTCGTGCGCGCGGGCGCGGCTGTGGTGCCGGAGCCACACGGCGGGGGGGAGCGTTACGCCATACCCCCCCCAGACCCTCCCCCCCCATGACGCCCGTCATCGCCGAACATAAAGAAACGCGCTCTAATTGTTTTGCGTTGCATGTGCATTTGCCGTGGGCGCCGAGGGGTGTCGTGCGTACCGTGGGGCGGCCCTGCCCGCGGCTTGGTGCGGTCCGAGCCGCCCTCGCTGGAACGAGGTGGGGTTCGGCGAGGGATGCGTGTATGTTTGCGCGCACTCGTGATCTCCCCCTCCTCCTCCTCCTCCTCCTCCTCCTCCTCCTCCTCCTCCTCCTCCTCCTCCTCCTCCTCCTCCTCCTCCTCCTCCTCCTCCTCCTCCCCCTCCCCCCGTGTACATTCATGAAACTGCAATGCGTGCGCGGTTGCACGCGCGCGTACGCCAGCGCAGCACCAACCCTCAATGCGTATTACGTCGTGCATCGGCACCGCATGGCAGGCACGCCGGAGGATGTATCAATCGCTCTTTGGCGCGTTCGGTGGCCATCCCCGTTTGGTGAGAGCCCCAGCATGCCACGACAGAGCGCGGCCCTTCTTTTCTCTGGGGGTACTGGGCGCGGTCAGCATGCATCGGTCGGTCCCCCGGCGTTGCGCTGCGGCTTCGCTGCCCGAGCTTCCCCAGGCAGTCCGCCATGTTGCACAGATTCCCCTTGCCTGTGGAGCGCGAGCGGGAGAAAGTGCAGTGCAGGGGGGCTCCTGGGGTGGACGCTTTTGTGCACGCGCATGGGCGGGCACTGTTGCGCAGGGCCTCTGCCCTGTATATGAAGTGCAATTCGCATGGTTGGCACCCTGCACCGCCATCTGTCTCGAGATCCCTGGAGGCTCAGCGACAACGAAGCGTGCAGGGATGGGTCACAATGTATTTTGCTCTCTAGGTTAACAATGCCACTACATGGGATAGCAGCTTCAGGCCAACTTCCGCCGTGACGTTGCAGGTTAGCTCAAGTTCTGACACAGCGCTGGAAACACGATCACGGACAGGACGCGCAGTGAGCCTCAGCGGCAATGCCAGCTCATCACACGTTTGTCCAGATCTATCGATTCACTTCTGAGACCCCGCCTCGGCCTCCCAGCAACCCCTGGTTTACAACACCCTTTTGTCGATCTGTCCAACAGTGGCGCTCTACCTACTCGGCCGTCTTTCGGAGGACATTGGCGAACTGGAGTTGTTGGACATATAAGGCCATAGATGACCAGCAGACTGAATGTATAATCACAAGGCGGCCGGGTTCTGCACCACGCACGACGGCACGTGCTCGGCCAGGCCGCCCGACTCGCCGTCCAGCGTCGGCCACGCTGGCAACTCTGGCAGCTCCACGCCGCCGTCCTGTCCTGGTTACTGAGGTCGTCAGCCCAGCGCCTGCGGGGCACGCGCGCCTCTGCGGCCCAAGCCACCTGCTGCTTCACGACCTTCACGCCATCACGAGCTGGGCAGACCTCGATCCCGACGTGCTCCTTGGCGGCCTTGCCTTCGGACTCGGCCACGGGCGTCTCCGCGTGCGCCCACGCTGGTCTCGCCGTCGACCTTGGTCCCGAAGCCTCCCTCCGACGCCCGCCCAGCGTCGCCGACCTCGACCACCAGCGAACTCCTTCGCGGCCTCGCCCTCGGACTCGGCCACAGGCGGCACCACGAGCCCCACGCTGCTCGCAACCTCGACCTCGGTCCCGAAGCCGCCCTCGAGATCCTGCTTGACGCCGTCGACCTCGATCGCGTTGTCCTCCTCGGCCACCTCGCCCTCGTACTCGGCCACGAGGGGCTCCTGGAGCTCGACGCTGCTCACGACGTCGACCTCGGTCCCGATGTCGCCCTCGAGCCGGCTGCACACGTCGCCGCCGTTGAGCCACGCGCGCTCGATGGCGTCCACCCAGTGGTCGCCCGCGATGAGGGGGTACACGGTCTCGACCACCGCCTCGGCTTCCTCGCACTCGGTCTCGGCACTTTCGCTCGCGTCCATGTGGAAGCACTCCACCTCCGCGAGCCGTCGCCAGGCAGGCCGCGTCTGTTTCCGCAGCTGGCTCCAGCCAAACCGACCAGCCGCCGCCTGGCAGCCGCCCCGGGCCACCAGCGAGGAGGGCCATCGGAGGCGAGGGGAGAAGGTTCAGGAGG